TCCAATCCACTTTCCCTGAGACTGACTCGTGCTTTCTGTTTTGATTAACCTACCAGTTCATACCTAACTTAAGCTCTTGTTGTCGATATCAAATATTTTTTCGTGAGTGAATTCGCTTATGAATTAATAAGGAACACCAATAAATGATAAAAATTTATAACGAAAACTGAAAATGATTACAATGTACTCGCACCCTTTGAGTTTGTCATTTCACCCTTAATGTGTGTGTCCTGGCTAAGACACTGTTTAAATCCACGTCACCGTATATGCTCATCCTTTTGGCTGTGGGGGCGTTATAAAGTGACTGTCAATCCCACTATTCGTTGGTTAAAGAGTGGTCTAAGAGTTGGCGGTGAGTGGTTGACTAGTTGTTTTCCCTATAGTCTATTACTGCTAAATTAGTGACGGCTATTACAGATAGCCCTCGTGTAGCTTTGCGCGAAATTCAAATACATAAATAATCTAATTCTTGGAAATCAATTAAACAGAATAGTTAAGTACTGCCAAAAATACCGCATTAATATAAACCTCCTGAAAAATAAACTAGCATCTTCTTATATCTAATAGGAAAAATAAACATTTATTTACATGTTTTAACAAGCGTGTAGTTCACCATGATTGGGCGGGGTGATACTGAGGGTGTAATCAAAGTTCTCATTAGTTAGAATCACGTCCCCCCCCCTCATTTACAAAAAAGTAAGAAAAGGAAGATAAAAGCAGAGATAAAGCCTGAATTTTAGACTCTAAAAATGACATTTTTGACAGGTAAATACAAAGTAGTTTTGTCACTGAAGGCTTCGAATTTCAAAATATGTTTTTGTATTTTGTTTTCATTTACTTTGATGAAAAATTGTACTTGTAGATGAAGTGTATGTTCACCGAAACGTCGGAACAAAACTGTTTCTGGCCAATTAATTACAGAAGTTAGCGTATTGCTATTAGTGTTACGTATTAGTTTATGTTATGGATATGAATGTTATAAAGTTCTTAGAACTATAGTACAGTAATATTAATAGCAGTTTTTACGCACCTTATTTTTACGAATCGGACGTAAGACTTGGAATTCTAATTCTTAACAAAAAATATAACAGGTGAAAATGAGCTTAAAATGTCTTCGTTTAAAACCATGAACATAATTTTCAAGTATTGCTAATGATATCGAAAGTTGAAGTTGAGCTTCATGTATAAACAAAAACCCGTTGTTCTATTTATGTTGTTGCTTTTAGTTATATGTTTTCTTCTATAACTTATAACTATATAATGCTAACAAATGGTTGTTAGTTAATTAACTACTAGTACTATTTTTGTTGAGCTGAACTTTCATATTTCAGATGAAATTTTAAAGTTCTTCTGGATTGTTGGAATGATAACGCATTAACAGGATAAGATGTGAAATAAAGCACTGTACTGGAGACAAGCATAGCTTACAATTAACTTAATAATGTTTGTTTTTATTATGTAATTGTAAAAAAAAAAACAATATTACAGTAATTGAATTTTATCAGCAACTAATTTTTGTGCATGTGGAGAATAAACTGACTGTGAGAATATGCCTCATTTAGGCCCAGTGTTATTGCTTTATACTTGAAATTAATACAGAATATGGAACCTGGTGGCTCATCTAGGCCATTCCATCCACTGAATTAAACTAAAATAAAAATGATAAAGCAAGCCTTTATCATTCAAATGTTTGTTAAGCCTTCACTTAAACTCCCTTTTCATGCTCTATTGATTAAATGTGCAATTCTTTATATCTGTAACTTGTAGAAGGCATTAAGTCAATTTGTACATAAAGTTGTATATAAAAAAAATGATTGTTGTTTTCGTTTTTTATGAAAACGATATTATTGTCCAATAAGTCATATTTAGAAACACAAGTAGTTGTAGATTCACCACACTTTGCATCTGGCAATTTGAATTCCTTAATTAGGAAGCATAAAGTTGTGGGAGAATTATGTCAAGCTACCAGAGCCATAAGTATTGAGGATCAAGCTTTATTTTCTAATTGTTTAAATTCCATCTGGTTTGATGGTAAGACGTTAATGAATCAAAACCACGTTTAGTCATCTACGTGTATATTCACTTAGAGAAATTGTATTTCATTTTGGTAATTTTATAAGAAAATATGAAAAAAGCATGGTGATAAAAGCTGTTTGGCCCATCAAAACAAAAACCAAGTGAAATTTAATCACTTAAAATATATAAAGATGTACTGGTTCAGCTTATTGGTATCTGTAAGTTACAAATGCAGCATAAAAAGTACAATGTATTGCTTTAACTTAACCCTTGTTTAGAGGCTTGCCTCCCATCTTGTACAGGTTCTATACTGACACTGGTAGTCCAGTTCATCCTGTAAGCTTTAGTTAAGATGTACATGTACATTGTGTGACTACAAAAAGTGACTAACTACAACTGTCAAGTCAATAAAATCAGTTATTTCTAATAATAAAATATGTGTAAACACACTTTATATTTCCTTATATATATAAAAGATCATTTTGTCCACTGAAATAGAGATGTCAGTAAATGTTAAAGTATAGTGTATATGTAAAAAAAATGGTGAAATTTCAATGATCTTAACAAGTCTGCTATTGTGGCTTAAGCATTGCTACTTTTGGAAGTTTAGTTTATAAGTTATTTTGTTAAATATGGTGTTTTATGCTGTTTAACTTTTTCGGAGTTAAATTATTTTATTAGTAGAAGATATTTTTTCAGTTGAATTTTTTCTGTAATGAATATTATGGATGGCATTAATGAGTCAAAATGCCTTCTGTTACCTATAGTTGTTATCTTGTACATGTATGGTTTTATTGTTTAAATTGGATATACACTAATGGATATATATTAGGTGTATATCAGTCTTTTCTCATTTGCCAAATTAAATTTGTCCCTTCATATGCATGCTTATGTATACTTTATATCCCAGATAGAAATTGGCAATAATACTCTCATCAAGATCTTAAGGGATTTTACTAGGTTGTTGGATCTCTAAGGATCCTGAATAGTACTTACCATATCTTACTATCATTTTAGAAGATCCTCAATAGATATTACCAGATCTTATTTATATCTTACCATTATTTTCAAAGATCTTATGTGCGAAATAAAATCTTATGCTTGTTATCTTGCCAAATCTTAAATTAAATCATATATAATTCACTCTGATCTTGTACAAAATGTTAGTAAAGTCTGCACAAATTCTGTAAGATTCTGCTTAATAATTTTATGTATATCTTTTTTAATAAGTATGGTATATATTGTATGTGAAAATTACATGTACATCAGATTTTAAGCCAATAATAAATACTTTTGACTAAAAACTGTAGATATTTAGAACCTGTGTTGTTGGAAGTGTTGCCAAATAGCAAATGAATACTTTTGTTTAATTTAAAATGCAAGGTTTGTCAACTGTTATTTTTAACTAAGGCCCAACAATAAGAATAAACTGTAAGAATAAACAGACATATACAAGTATTTATTATAACTATGAAAGTTTTATACCAGAATTCTTCAAACATCATTATCAAGGTTTTATTAGTTGAGCATATATAGTTTGTAGTAACTTAACTTACTTTAGAATTGAGTTATTAAATATTAGTTGAGTTCCGGAAGAGATTTGTTTTCCTGTTGTGGTTATTAATCAAAATGTCAAACGAGTACTGCATAATCTAAATTATGTTAATAACATTTCTCTTATTCAGACAATTGATAAATGTCTGATAACTTTCGTACTTTCTTATTGAGGTAGTAAATCCTTGTTATTAAGGTCTAAAATTTTGAAATGTTTTAAAAAGGCCTGTTCTCATATGTACTTTAGATGTGTATATAGAGACTTCTTTTGACTAAGAAAATTCTTCCCTTTCAATGACAAAATCAGTATATTGAAGCAATCCCTTTTCACTTATAAATGTAAATGTCCTCTCAGCTTGAAAGACTACATTGGGTTCACTACCAGATATCTCTGACAAAGAATTGTAGAACATTGTACTTCTTTCATCTTTCCCTACTCATGTTTTACAGCATGCCATTGAATTTGACTATAATATCAAATTTATGTACACACAGCTATACCTTACAAATACAATGAAGCAGTAGTGGAAAAGAAGGCATTTAAATATTAGCAAAATATTATTGAATACATATACACAATATCAAACTTTCAACTGTATTTATGGGCAAATAACTGATTTTAATTTTTTCGTTGTTAAAATGTTATGACAAGGTAACAGGTGAAAGAATATTAAAGTTAAAAGACATTTGGGGAATTAAAGCCTTCCACCTGGAAATCATTGTCATGAAGATCCCATTCAGCTTGTTAATTTGAATATAATTAAAAACAGAAAATTACAGATGACAGCACTAAGCCCAGCTGATGAGTGTGTGCTTACATTGTAAATTTTAATGTAATGAACACTCTTATATTGTATTTTATTCACTAAAGATCCTTTAGAGTGCTCTTAAATTTCTTTCACAAATTTATGTAATTAATTGTTTAAATAATAGGGCAGACATGTCTAGAAAAATATGCAACATATACTTTGGTTAGACTATTTTTATGGAATAAACAATAATAAAAAGTAAACTTAGTTATTATTTAAATTTTTTGGATGCAGCTCTTTTCAGTTCGTATTATTTTAGTATAAACAGCTACTGTAAACTAGTTTTCATTTAATTCCTAAAACACAGTATATACTATTATAGCTTGCAAGTTTGAGCAATGTTGATTTCCTTCATTACAGGAAATGGGAACGCCTACTAAGAGAAGCTTTCTGAACAGCTGTACTAGATACATGGTTTCAGTGTGTTAGCTAACCCCAGGTTATAATTACTTCTTCACAACAGATGCATAAGAGGATTTTTCATCTGGATGATAAATGGTCATAAACATTGGGAAGCTTTGAATTGGTGTCACAAACCACTTTGGGCAAAATAAATGGTCAGTGAATTCTACAGGTGTTATAGTTGAAAAGTCTGCTGTTTGTTATGTATATAAGCTACTTTATAATTCACTTATTTTCCTATAGATATATATATTTAAAGGAAAATAAGTAAGTAATTTTAGAAAATAAAACTTGTATAAAATATTGTGGTTACTGGCACAATTGTTTTCAAGTACAGAACAGGTTGTACAAATAAAAATTATTTTCTAAAATTGATTAATGTAAACTGTGATTCCTTTTAAGTTCTTATTCCCAGTAAGAAAATTCAAATTAATTTAAACAACTGTATGTTGTTGTGTAATATGATAACTTAATGACAACCAATTAATGGAGAGTTTAATATGTTAAAGGTGTTGAACTCTATTTGAAGTCATGTTTATTGTTAAATGAGGTTTTAATACTTCTAAGTTTCATATTGAAGTGTTTTTAACCATAACGACATGAAAATATTCCTTTACAATTAAGGTATGATCTAAGAAATATATACTATCAGTGGAACAAATGAAAATTTTATATTAATAAAGGGAACAACCTATAAAAACTAATATTTTGCTTAAAATACATGCAAATGTTATTAAAACTACTACTTCATATACAAACAGCAATATTGTACACGTACAATAAAAGAGTACTAGAAAAGATTGCATTTAAAATATTAGCAATATATTATTGAATGTGCATGTACAATATGAAGCCTTTAACTGTATATATGGGCAAGTAATGGGTTTAAGTTTTTTCCCTGTGTTGAAATGATTTAACAGTTAACTAATTACAGCTTTAGTAGAAATGTCACCTGTTATTGTTAACTAAATTGACCACAGGTGAAGGAACTGGACACTTAATAAATTGCGTACACCAAAACAGAGAGTATAGTTTGAGGCTATTTGCTAAATTCAATCGCACAATTATAGTTACTGAACCTCATAGTATGAAAGCATACCATGTCTGTTACATTTGACTTCAGACATTAAAAGAAAGTTTTCTGAGGGGATTTATTCACATACCTGCATTAACAGAATGTGTACAGGGTTGGTTTGTTGAAAAGACCCTATATTGGAGAAGGAATTTTCATTATAATTATGAATTTACTATGTTTATTTACTTGAAATGTGGCAATTTTTTGGTAAAAATCAGATGTGTTACAAAAGTATTTGTTATTGAGATATGCCTGTGAATTGGCTATGTCAATCTGATTCAGACTCTTATAAGTCGGAGTGTGAAGTGATGTTCATTTTCCCGTGGTTCTTACTTTCTCAGTTATTCATCACATCGGTGAAAACGTATATGCGTTATCAACAGGTAAAGAAAATATAAATTTCACAGTAGTTTTCCCTGTTACATACTAAGTGTCCTAACATCACTGGTGTTTTATGCTCGTGAAGGTCGTAAAATCTAATCAAATGTAGGGCAGAAAAACGACTCAAATATGTTGTCATTCTAGCCATTCCCTACGTGGAATTCAGGTTGTACAGAGCTTTAATAAAAAAACATAATTTTTTCATTATATTGCTGAAAGTTGTCTTGGTGAGGAACAAAATCTTAAGGTTTTGAAGTTAAAGTATTTCTAAAGTGTACTCTTCATGGTAAATATCAGTAAAAGTACTTTTGTCCATCAAATAGTTTGCGTATTGCATTTACATAACCTCTAGAATTCCAAAATGCATATCTACAGTTTTTTAATCTCTGTATATTGTATCTTTTATTTACTTTTCTCTGCCACAAACTAGATCAGCTATGTAGGGAAAAATGAATAGCTAACTCTGAATCAAATACATAATACCATGTTGAGCGACACTCTGTACTTTGACCTCTACCCATGCACAGAGGTTTAATGATTATGAGTGGTACTATAGATAAGTATCCAACTTTTATCTATTTCACTAGGTAGATTAGGTGTTGAATACATAAAAAGTAACTGTGATTAACATTTGATTTCTACCTGAAAACTGTTGTTATTATTAAAAGTTTTGAAATTATACACTGACTTATAGATCTTTGGCTGTTAGGGATTACAGGCTAGCATGTAACCAACTTTATTGATCTTATAGAAGAAGCATGGCTTTAATTTTAATTATGTGAAGTCGTAAATTAAGAAGAACATGTAACTGAACAACATCAATGTAAGAGATTTAAGTGTCATTTCAGCATGTCAACAAATTGAGTATTACCTCTTAAAAACAAATTTGAGTCATTTGTAGTGTCGTGTAACATTCAGACAGTTTTTGTAACTGCAACAGTGAGTGTAAGATTTCAGCTGTTAATGAAGTCACAATTATGCATGATTTTAATTTCAGGCAGATAGATTGAGATTTGTTTGGGTCAAACCATAAGAGAGATATGTTTGAGAAATTGTCAGAATGGTTTTCTTCACCAATTGATTAGGGAACCTACTAGGAAGAATGCTGTTTTAGATTTTTTATTAACTACTAATATCGAAATGACTGAAAGGGTGGAGATTGTGGAATGTCTGGGTGCAAGTAATCATTGCATAATTGGGTATGATGTTTTACTGCACATGAAGATAAGGAATTATGAGATTTTGGTTACAAATTTCAAAATTAAATTTTGAAGGGATGTGACAGGAATTATTTGTTGTGAATTCGGCAATTGAATTAATTGGAAATACTGATCAAGATTTTTAAATATTCAAGATAATAATGCTTATTATAGAAACAAATGTCGACTGCAAGTGAAAAAAGCAGAATGACTTGCAAAGGTCATAGGGGATGAAATGAAAGAAAAACATTTCAAATTTAGTAAGATTGAATTGACTGCTACGATGGGAGACTTAGAGGATTATAGAAGATCAAAAGAGTTAGTCAAACAGGAAATTGAAAGGGGTATATGAAAAATGATTGGCTGCAAATGTAAAAATGAACCAATATTTCAACGAGATAGGATGTGTCTTTAGTCTGCTCGAAATTTCATATTTTTTTAGACTAAAATACATCTTAGTTACTAAGCTAGATAAATTATAGTAGAATTCTATGGTATTAATGTAGTAATTTATGATTTTTTAGTTATTCAAATGTATATATAAAACCTAAAAATATTTTGTTTCATATCCTCCACGTGCAAATTTTTTAAAGAATCAGCAAACTATGTCAAGCAGCAACTGAGTACAAAGGTCATAACTAGAAGAGATAATTGTTTGCTTTACTTCTTTAGTTTCTGTTCTATGTTTTAAGAAAAATAAGTTTTAGAACTTATTTCAAAATAGCAATAATCAACATACATATATAATGTACAATAATTGAAATGTGGCTGTATTTTACAAAATACTAGTCTACTAAAACAAAGCCAAGATAAGTTACTTTGTACAGACCAAAGGTCAGTTTTATGTTATTTGATTCGGTACCATGAGTGCTTGTGAGCCACATCATTGTAACTTTGCTATTGTTAGCTTGGCACGGCTGAGAGGTCAATATAATAAAATTAATATATAAATATAAAGTATAATGTTATGAGATTCAAGCTATTTAGTCTAAACATTTATGTTTTTGTGTTATAATTTGTGTTTCGTTCTAGAATAAAGGGGCATAACTTATACTTATTTCCTAATTCTTTATGGTGGTTGCGAGATTGGTCAAACTTACTGAACCCATACAGAGATTAATTACTGAAAATAACAGATAAAATTTAATGTTTTTTCTTAAGAAATATTTGATAACTATCTGGACATTATAAAGATTTCGCATGGGAAATTTCAAAATTTTCTGATGCATAAAAGTATTTTTTAATCTTATAATGAATATGCAAAAAGAAAAAGAGACATGAGAAAAAAATTCCTTTACAAACTTTTAAGACTTAATAAAAAAAATTTATATTTTGCATATGAAAGCATTGTAATATTTACTGATAATCTGCCAAATTTCTTTAACACATGCTTACTAATTTAAATGCTATAGCATGAAAACTGTAACAAGCACAAAATGGTTAGGAGGTCAGTCCCAGGGACCGAGCCTGTGCTGAAAGAGCTAATACGTTAATTAAATTTGTTGATGATGTTAAGGTGTTCTCGGCTGTAAGGAGGATGCTACTACTGCTTTACTTATTATATACCTAGGAACTTTACTGTTTAAACCATTAAGTTGAAGCTTCACTATTACTGCAACTTTTAATAATGAGCTTGAATTAGAGACATCTCTTGAGAAACAGCACAGTGATTCAGATAATTTGATCAGTTGGACATATAAATGGCAGATGTTTTTTAATTATAATAAATGCAAAGTAGTTTATATGGTTTATTATAATTTGAATTATAAATGTAATTTTTTATTTTGAAGGCTTCATGTCATCACCTGTATGAAAACCTGTTACTTAAATCTAATGTACATGGATACTTTTAAAGGCAAAAAAATCAGTTTTATAAAAGCATTACTTAATGAAATCATTATTGAATTAGAATGTGTCTGTATATAGATTATATTACAAAGTGGATAATTTGTTTCTTTAGATTGGGATCATCTGTTCACTGACATTACATGTATAACCTTTTCATATGACATTAGCTGTATTTAGTTAACGATGGCATCACCACAACAAAAATATAACCTTACAACCATAGCTGAGTTAGCTGCTGACAAGATATTGGGACAGTCTTTTGGAGCAACAAGTCAAGTAAGTTGTTTTACTTTATTACATGTATTTTTGTAAGTAAGAATAGGGCAAAAATCCTCTAGACATAACACAGCATAAATCAAGGTATATGAGCATTATAAATAGTCAGGAAGTGCATATTTTAAAATGAAATATTTAAGATATTCTTGTATAGCTGTTATATTTTTTTCTTTTGTTTCAATCAGTTGTGGGAGATAAAGGAACTACAGTAAAAGTGAACATTTTTTAAAAATAATAGATAACAGTACGGTGCATCACACAAGGACATACATGTAGAATATGTAGAGGAAACTGCTTCAGTTAAGAACAGATGTTTACTACATATACTGTACATGTGTATCTTTCCTTGTTCATATAGAACTACTTTACTATTTAAATCATTATATTGAAGCTATTATTGCAACTTTTACTAATGAGCTTATATTAGAGACATCTCTTGAGAAACAGCATAGTGAGAAAAAAGTTTGGATTATTAGTAAAAATAAAAATTGAGCTATATAAAATGTGTGTTCCTAAAAGTCAAACATGTTATTCATCTGTGCAAAATCTACTTATTTATTGCTCAATATACTTAGTTTGGGCCCAAAGTAGAATTATAAATTTAATATCTTCCAAACTTTGACTCATTTACACTTGCATCTAAAACATACAAAAGATTTAGAATGCATTTCAGTTCCTGTGTACATACATGTATGCTCACATTACTTTTTGTTTGCTAGTTCAAATATCACTGACTAAGTTATTGTATTCATAGTGATAACCCCTGGCATTTTGTTCTATTTAAAATCTAGTAAGACCTACACAGAAACAAATTTCTAATTTATAGGAATGACATAAGAGCTTTAAACTAATTAAAATTTATGAAAAAATGAAACTTGAATTAATGAATTAAACATTTTCATATGAACATTATGATTGATAAATGTAGATTTATTGTGTTGTTTTTGCTTTACTGAATCTTTAAAGCAGTAGGGAAAAATGAAGGTGTATGCGGACAATGTTATCATTTTTGTTATATGACAATGAGTATTGATCATAAGACTCCAAGAGGTGTAGTTTGATAAGGACTTCACATATGTTGTACTGTTATACATTTACATGCATGTGTTGATGTAAGAGAATGGTTATATGCTCTTTTTAAGATAGGACTGTTTAGTTTGTGAAACTGTACAGTTTGGTAAGGACTACCTACACCATAGTATAGTGCTGGTTTTTATCCGGATTTTTTCATATTTAGTAACTGATTTGAATGCCATGGAATTGGGCACAATAGTAAGTTACTTTATCCAACTACATGTATCTACTGAAATATTTGTATATTTACATTTGTACATATGTTTATGTGATGAAAATTAATTTGTTTGTTTGTGGTGTATTTGTTGAATAAAGAATTAAAAATAGTCAAAATAAGTAATATGAATTGGGTAATTTGATTTTAAAATTTAAAACTTCATTGACTACATATATGAATATCAAATTTTATTGTTATTAGTTTAATATATTTATATGAAGTTTTAAAACATTATGTAGATGTTGTTTTATTTAATTATTTCATTTTCATATTGTATGTAAACTTTACATACTTTACTGTTTTGGCAAATTTTAGAAGAGTACTTTTTACATGCTAGACATGTATTTATATGTTGTTAGTTGTATTGAAAATATGTTTATATTTATATAAACATAATTATATTACCACTATAATAATGAAATTTTAGTGGTGGTAATCTACAGTTATCTGCATACTATATATTTTGTAGCATCCTTCCATGTGCATATGCCTGATATTGAAACAATTGATTTTCAAACTGAGAAAGTTTAATTGCAAATATTTAGTGTTGAATAATTACTGTACAAGAATACATGTACATCAGTAGCAAGCAAGTTATAAAATTGCATACTTTTCTGTAGTTTTAAATATTGCTATAAGTAATTTTTGATTAATACATGTGGACTGAGATTTTCTATTGTCATAAAATATATGAGATCCTAGCATTATACTTATTTTTAATGTGCCTTTCATAAACATTTATAATACGATTTAGTTTTTAAGTGAAAAATATAAATCTATATACTTGTTTCGTGTGATAAGCATAAGATTAGTTTATTTGAACAAACCAATATTTACTAGTTTTTTTTTAAGTATCAGTAATGCATAAAAAATTTGCCTTTGAAAAATTTAATGTCTCTTTTGATTCATATCTGCCATTTTTGAATAGTTTTCTTTGTTACTATATCTTAGAGCTTCTGTCCATTATTTCAAAATTCTAGTTTTTAATCACTTTATGAGCTCATATTTCTAGATAATCTCATATTTACAAGTAAAGAAAAAACTTTTCAAAAATGGAACTAAGTGTAGGAATGGCTAATATCAATCCATCAAAAAACAATGCAAACAAGATAGTAGGGATGGCATTTGCATTATCCCCACATAATAGTGCAGGCACACAGTGTAGTAGAATGTTAACAGACAAAAATAAGAAAAATTAAACTCAACTGTGATTAAATAGTTATATATATTTCTATATGTTGATATGTTTTTAATTACTACTGTTAATAATACTTATAAAAGAGTATGCTCTGTTTGAAACTACGCCACCTGAGTGAAATTAGCTGACACCATTGTTTTGGTTTTTGAGTTATCATGTAATAGAAAAGAAGCAGAAGAACAAGAAATTCAAACTTTTTGCTGTGATATTTACAGACATTCGCAGAACTTGTAACTCAATCATTACATAGTATTTAAAGTTCCGATAATCTATTGAGGAGATATTTATAATACCATTTCGATGAAGAATCCGAACCATCTCTACATAGGAAGTGCTACCACCTGCCTGATGAGCTTCTTCTCTACCAATAAACATTCTTTATGGTCATACTTGATTTTTTTGTTTAGTAGTTTTGAGAGGTTATTCATTTTACTTTTCTACAATATCCATTCATCCAAAAGTCCTTTCTGTTTTTGTAATGATTTTTACTATATGTCCAACTAGGTTTGGGGCCCATTGTGCTTATAGGATATGTAATATTTATTAATTTTAATTTTATTATTTTGAATTTCTCCTCTCAAGTGAAGGTTCCAATTTGTAATTATAATAGTATTTTATGGAATACTTGACTTCAGTATGAGAATTATGTAAAAGAGTACTTAAAACAGTTACAAATTCCCATTATTCCTACCAATAGTTTAATAATTTATTTAAAGACAAATTTACATTATTTTGAAACTATTAAAAAAAAAAATCATTTTGTAGGACCCAGGTATTTTGTCCAGTCCCATGCAGGGAGGTCAGGGCTCTCTTAATATGTAGCCTTCTTCCTGTCCCATTTTGCTTGCCCATTCTCCTTTATCAGTGGAAGTGATGTATTTATTGTTGCTTGTCTCGGCAACTTTCTCACCTTCCTTCCTCATCGATCTGTGTTCTTCCCATGGCATTTAGAGCAGGGCTGGTCTGTTTTGGCTATTGCTGGTTACTGGATAGCTCTCAACTGAATGGGTTTGACAGCTTGTCCGTTTAGCATATTCTTTATTGGATGGAGAAGCATATTGGCATTTTCAGGTATCATCTCACAAAATTCTACACCTCATTCATTGGCTCTTCGCTTCTGTCTTCTTTTGGAGATGAATGTTCAGGCTGGCGTGTGGACAACCCCACACACATTTGTCACATACATTTGTCACATACTTACTCCATGTCAGGTTTTTAGGTATGTATGGGCCAGCTACTTTAATGTAGGTGACTGTGACTTGTTAGCAATATATTTCAACAATAAACAAACAGCAAACAGTCCACTTGTTTTCAAATAATATATATTAAAACAAGTCAAACATATATCTAAATGTTCTTGACACTGTTGATTACCACAGTTGTATCCACAGTTTTAAATAATTGTCTTTTTTTCCCATCAAAGTCCACATAGGTTGGTTCAGTTACTTTAGAGAACACTTGACAAGACAAATTATTCTTCTCTGCTCTGTTGTTACAATACAATCTGTGATAATGTCATTTAGAAATTACCACTATATGTTCTTTGTGATTGATTATACTCACAATCATTCAGTTTAGATCTATCTCTAACTAACTTTGTCTAAATTACTTGAACTAGATTTTGTACACATATTTATACCCTAACCAAGACTAGAATTTTCTACACACCACGAGATAGAAGGTTGTAGTAATATGATGCAATATTACAACAAGCACCAATTCACAATAATTAAAGTACACAATGTATGAATCATACATAATTATGTAAACAAACTTGTGATAAATTATTGCTTCTAGAAATAGCTAAATTTAACACTAATGCTACACTTAACCCATCTAAGTCATAATACTCGCATTAAACTTAGAGTTGTGTATATCTAACATGGCCATTTGTTCTTTATCAGGCTAAGGAGTTCCTCTGGTTGCTATTCTTCACACATCATACTGTCTCTGATTGGGTAAATCTTTTTTTTTATTTCTTAATCTCTTTATACAGAGCCTTCTAGTCCCTTACGGGATCCCACTCAGTCACAAGTGTTGCCTGCCAGGGTATACTTAACCAAAATCCACACAGTGTAAGGCTGTCAAGGACTGATGTAGCACTCACCCATGAAATGGAGTGTTCCACAAGACCACTCATAGTATTAAGTGGTGCTTATTTTCCCATCCAAGGCCACATCCAGACTGTTACCACTTATTGACTAGGATAATTAAATAGGGCAAGTGATTTCTACCCATCTTCCATGTTTAGTTTAAAATCTAGAGCTGGCCTGCATTTAAAAATAGTGTTTTTGTGGTCACCTGTTGCACTGTATTAAAGTGGTGCACTTCTCCAGGTTTCCCCATCACACTTTCATTACCCCCCTTTTTTTTTCTTCTGGTGGAGTTTGGGAGTCCTTGCCACTCACCACCTCTTAGCCACTGGGGATATGGACCATTGATAATATCTCCTAAATGTGACGAATTCCACACAGTAGATTTTAGGGCAGTAATTTTCTGTCCATGTAGTACAGTTCACCCCTTTGGTGGTTTTCTCCTATCTTACTGCTGCATGGAAGTCAGGCTCCTGCGTGGTCTGGTGTTGGATTGGTACAAGACCAGCCAAAATAATTCCTCATTCATTTGGAGGGTGGATGTTACTTTACTGTTTTGCTTCACTGAGCTTGAGGTGAAGATGATAGGGATCCAACTACTACCATGACCCAAAAACTGAGTTCCTGGTGCTGCCTGGTTTTTGACTGGAGTTGACCCACCATGTACAGTCTGATGCGATCTTGCCACACTACCCATATGACACTTCAGAAAACCAGGTTTTGGACTGTGCTTGTATTTTCCACCCATCCTTGTGACTCTTTCCTTCCCTTTCTTTCTTGGCAAAGAATGTAGCCTGGTTTAGATGAAGTGTGATCACCCATGAGTGTGCTCCTACACTGTTTCAAGGTATAGAATGTTGTGTTCTATGGATTCTCTTTGGATGTTTACTGAAGAGGGCTCATCTAGGTAAAATTTTGTACCTGATCATCCACCACTTTAATGTGGGACTCTAGCTAGACGTGAGAAGAGGTGAGGTATCGTATCAGAAGTTAATATTTTTCGACACTGAAAGGTATTTCCGATAGATACCTCCACTCACACTTCCCACCCTTGTTCCCCATTTCCAGTGCATCTTGCTTTCTAGCCTAATCCCAAAGTGATGATTGAACAATCAGTGTAGTGGGAATTAGCTGTGCTAGGAGGTGGTGTTGCATTGTTATTGGTGAAAGGTTGTTGTATGCTCACTTACATGCAACAAAGCAGCAATATCACATGGAAACATGTAAGATTAAGTAAGAACCTCGAGGCTAGTGGTGAGAAAAACACTTTGCATATAGAGGGCAGAACTGAATCTGGAATGTTAGATGTGAGAGAGAGAGTGAGTATCCATTCCTACATTTGTTGTTTACTAAAGTGGTCTAATCGTGGTTGGCTATGTGCCAAATGTACGAAGCCTTCGCATAGTATTGATGAATTCAAGTTACATATAAACTATTTGAGTATTAAATTGCCCTTAAATGTCAAATTAATAAATTGTAAATGCAATAAAAAGAAATTTCTATCAAAATAAAAACAAAATTGCATTTCCTTTGGTAGCAATGCTACAGGGTTTCATTTCTACTTTGAAACTCTCTTTTGTTTATGATGATCAACACTTTCTAAAAAAACCATTGTAAGATTTTCATATGTCCGTCATTTATTTTAGTTGCTACTACTCTTGGTTACCAGATATTTAATTCTTAGTTAAATTATTATCTATTGTGATTCTTTAAAAATCTGCCTATGGTTTTCTGTTCATGAAAGATGTAGCTCTAATTTTATTTACATAGCTGACATTGGATTTTAACTTGCATTATAATAATCACTATTTGTCCATCAGTAAGAAACAGTTTGTCACTGCTTTTTGTACAACACTAATGGCATAAAATACATTGGTTTCTATATCAAACTCGGGTAACTGGATTTTAGTTTTTATGACCTCAGCTTCTGCTATTATAACATACCCTCCATTTAAACTTTAAGGTATCATTTAAGAATCTTTAACTTTATCAGCTCAGTATCATCAACCTCCTCTATACGTTTAAGGATTAAATGTGTTTGTTAGTTCTTGTTCAGCAGCACTTATAAATATAGTAGGACTTGCATGTATACTTTAGGTCAGTGCTTCTCAACTTTTTCCAATATCATTCGCCCCTATGAGTTTTTCTCAACAGTTCATTCACCCCAATTTGAAAAAAAAGACAAAAAGTACTAAATTAAAATGCAAAATTCGTTATTATGGCTTAAATATACATCAAATTAGCAACATAAAATGAACAAAACCTGTTCACCCAGTTGAGAAGCACTGCTTTAGGTGACAACAAGTTATGGTTTGAACTTACATGTACAGTCTAGGAGGATGGTCTGAACCAGATTATAAAAAGAATGTTATGTTAGTATATGTATTAAGTGTGTAAATTGACTTTTAATTGGGTTTCAGCTGCAGTTTGATTGTTGCTTAGAGCTTTATGCTGTTATTATTTTGTTTTTGCTTAAGTCATTCTTAATCTGCTCTAGCATCAACAAACAAGCTTCTTTGCTATATTTTCACACTTCACTTTCGTTCAGAGGCTTTACCTTACGACCCTTACAGCTGCACTGGGGAAAAATTGCACCTACTTGTTCTCCAACTTAGTTTTTATTTTCTAAAATCTCTGCAATGTCTCAATTTACTCTCTTTGAATGGGCTTGGCCAAATTGGCTGAGTTCATGACCCCAAATTGACATTTATTGTTTCCATACTATAACTTCTAATGTTTTGTATATCTTCATGAAATTTTGCAAAGTTTCAGTAATCATTACAAGTCTTTTACAGACAGAAAAAAAATCAGAATCATGTATGACTTTTTTAATGCTTTAATCTTAGCTTCTAAACTATTATGACCTCTGTCCTCTATAAAATAAGAGTTCTGGTGTAAGATCAGTATCTCAGGTTCAACCTCAAGAAAGAACATAGTTCTTAACACCCTAATTGATTATATTGAGACCCAAATAATAGTTGTCTTATTCCAGAGGTTCTAGTGAGTTGAATAGATGGCACTAAAAAATGAAACAGGTTTTGTTCATTCATATTGCATCTCTTTCAGTGGTTTTATAGTGCACATAGATTTTATGAGCTGAGATTGCTTGGTTCGGATAGTGTTCTTTGGTGTTAACATGAGATAAAAGTTTATATTATATTGTAGGACTGAGGATGAGCCTTGATCAAAGTAAGCAACTATTGTAAGAGTCAGAATGGAGAAGGGTTACGTATCTGCTTAGGAATTTAAGCTCTTGTTACTCACTTGGTAGAATACACTGTAAACATGTTTAAAAAATTAGAGCCAAGTCTTCTTGAGTGTAAATTTTTGAGTCGTAACATAATTTTAATTTGAACACATGGAACAATATTATTTGTGTTTCACAAACCCTATTGTTTAAATATGAGACTACATTTACTTTTTATAATTGTGACTATTTATATTAGTGTATTTGCCTCAAAAGAACAATTCTAGTGATCTACATTTCTAATTTTTTAATAGGTTAAAGACTTGGATTTTTTTTTTCAGTTACAATTTAGTGGACACTCAAGTACTTCAGATCAAGAGTACATTATTAATGCCATGGAATCAGAAGACAGCTATGCTAATTTTCCAACCCCATTAAATGATTCAGTATCAGATGAATCAATAGAAGCCACAAACATCAATCAACCAAACACTGAGAAGGCAGAAAAGAAGCAACATAAAACTTCGTATGTATATGTACATATATAAGGAAATTCTCTCTTGTGAAAAAAAAAGGAAAGAGGTAATCTTATTTAATTCCACAAGATTCTCTGGGGGATCAATAAGACAAAGGAATCTGATTTTCATGTGCTTTGTTCTGAGAGTAACAAAATCAGAGGAAAAATTCAAGATATAGAAAAGATAGGCTATGTTTCAGTTAAGACAGTTTTATGTTTCTAAAAAATACTAATGGTGTCATCTTATGGAATGAATTGCTGTCAGCAGTAGTGGAGGCCAGCACTTTATAGGAAGTTAAGAGACGAATCAATGATCTAGTTAAAAGTAAAGGGTGTATTAAAAATATTGCTTTTCTGCTAGATGTGTATGCAAGAGCAACCACAAAGTATGTAATGGTCCATTGTTGTCTTTAGATATAGGTTATGTTACGTTTAAAGGGTTTATAAGATTACTGTATGGTACAGCTAGTGTTGCTAGTTCAACAAAAACATTAAGAAATTAAAATTTATACATGTTATTTGTTAAATTAGTATTCTAAACTAGTAAATTACATAAGTTAATCTGCCTACACCCAGATTACCTCAAATGATTTACCACTATCAAGTGAAAACATATATATGAATCAAAATGTAAAACAATGAACATCAGCATTACAAAAGTTTAATTGATAACACCTTAAAAACTCTTATACCTATATAAAGGACTGAAGAAACAAAATATTTTTCAGACTATTAGATAGACATTTTTTCTTAAATTAAAAGAATATTTTGGTAACTTTTCTGCAGGACTTTGGCTAAAATAAAATAACATTATCCTTATCTATGAAAGAATACTGATTTGCTCGAAAAGGTTATGGGGAGGTTACTAGGATTATTTGAGGAATGGAAGAGTTATCTTACAGAGATAGGTTAAGATCTGGTTTCTAACTAGTGATTTGTACAGGGAGAGATAATGACCTCTTCTCTGTTAGCTTTACTTTTAGCAACAGAACACTGCTGTGATGGCTTGAGTGGTTTATTCACCACTATGCCAAGATCATTTTCTTCAGTATGTTATTGAGTTGGTTCCCATCTATGTTAAACATTTATACTTTTCCCAAGTATTCTATATATGGTGTGATACAAATGAAATTAATAACTTCATCTTGATATGTCACCAGCTACCTAAAAGATATTTAGGCCAAAAGAAGTAGCTACTACTCAAAGTAATTAAAACATAATTGCGATGTAACATATTACAGTTTGTGTAAGATCTTTAAAATAGATTTGGAGCACTGTGAAGTAGATCTGAAGCATGGACCTCAAGACAAAAAAAAATAATTTATAAGCTAGAAATTATTAGATTCATAAACCACAGACAAGTTTATGTATGGAAGATTTAATTTTTTTTCATTATTTCATAGACTGATACCAAAATGGGGTTAAAATAGTAAAGAAATATAGAAATAATGTAGAAATGAGTATTGAAAAAACCAAAAGATGGATATAATCTGACAGTCTAATATACTTCATAAAATTAAGTGGTCCTATTAGTGAAGCTCAATTAACCAGACACAGCTAATGCACTTTCTCTACTGACAATTATTGGATCTACAGAAAAGAAAATGAAACATACTGGACATCTATGAAGAACAAATCATCTGTGCACTTAACATAACTTTATAGTAGCTGAACAGTGCAGTACATAACAGCCATCACATCCACAAAAGGAATCACTATTCCTATTTAAGCATCAAGCATAATCTTCTTTTTAACTCTTACATGAAGCAAACATGGGTCCATTTCAACAAGTACCAGCAGCAAATACAAGTATATATGTAAAAGAAAGTTAGGTAAATCATGAATAAGTGTACCAAACACTACTCAATCATCAAAGTGTTTAATTTTATTAATGTGTAGTTCCCCAATAGAACCTAAAGCAAATTTGAATATTAGCAGATATAATTCCACATGAAATAAGTATCTTTTGACATTTAATCTTGGATAAGTAATGAAAAAATGAATGATTATTGACTTGCTGGAAATGAATTAATTGTAGAAATGCCTAAAATTTAAATTGGTGCTGCTTATATATGTAGGTTGAATATTCCTCTGTGTAAGGTAGTCTACTTCTGTAACATGGGCATTACATTTTTTCAAGACAACATTTTACGTACAGCCAATAATAGAATGAAAGAACATCAAAGGTTTTGGTAATTTTTCAGCTATAAATGTCTAAAAAAACCTTTTCCAGTAAACTTAAATTGAAGTAAAATATATAGTTCTAAGTCTATGCAGTATCTATAGCAAAGAAATTGTTAATGTGAAAAATGCCAAGCTGTAAAAGCTGTATAATGGTGGACATATAAGACACACGAGCCCACTTAGAAGAAACAATTAAGGAATCTTGTAATCTATTATTATTATTATACGATGTGAAACAATGTTCAAACTGTTGCTAGAAAAAAACACACACAAAAAATGTTAGAGAAAATATTTGGAGTAACCTTGATCTGCACCAAGCAAAAAAAAGACACAATTGTAAAAGCTGTGAGGATTCAATTGAGGAGTGGCCCTTCCCCTCAACCAATCTTTTTTTAGGTTATAGAGTGTTGAAGCCTCCATCCACTCAGTTGATTCTCCTAAAAGTATAATTTAATGCTGGAGTCTACAGTAGCTTGGGTCAATTTGTTATCAATTTTGGTGGCCTGGAAGTGAGTTCCACATTTAGAAACAATACTTACCTCTCTGCACCACTAAGATCTATTACTTTACATGCAACTGTTGTTGAATTTCCTGCACATCCCAAAAGCCTTAAACAACACCCCCCCCCACTTGTGTCTACAAACATTAAATAACTATCATAATGCTGTAGCCTTCCATTAGTTGGTGAGTAACATGCCCTCAATGTGCACTAATACCAATGAGCACTAAAATATGATCATAAGCTCAACCTTCTCCTAAGCACTGCCTATGTTCATATATGTTTTTTCTGTGCTTTTTGAGTTTCTAGTCATCTTAATGGCTATCTTTTATTCTTAATACAACATTACCTTTGTCCTTGTAGCATTTTTGTTCTATCCATTTGTTTGCAACCCTCTTACTATAAAAGATGCAGAAACAGCCATATCAATTATAGAGGTATACTACCAAAGCAGTCTTGAAGAGAAATGGAAGTTTAAGCCATAAATGTCCAAATAATGATGACCACGAGGAGGAAAAATAAAAAAAACGTGCATTTTTAGAGACAAATGATAAAAGAAACAAGAGGGCAGCAGCTCAAAGAATAGGGAGGTACGTAAGAGCCAAACGAACTAGACCGGGGGGCAAAAGGAAGGGATTAATGTCTGGCATGTGATGGATGGTTGTGGACAACACTTCATGTTAACCTTTACTGTAAGAAACAAGACAGGTCCTAGATGAAAAGCCAGGTTAAGAAGGAAGTAAGATGTGGAAGAGTATCACAATCCAACTGAAAAGAGTAGCAGATAGACCAGTGGTGGTAGACAGCCCATTTATATTGATAGAGGGCAAGAGGAAAAGGCTGACAAGGTTTTTTACTCTTAATATAGTAGCACAATATGCCTGAAAAGAAACTTGTTGATAGTCATGCATTCATAAATTACACTGACATCACAAAGAGATTTACAGTAAGGATATCAGGTAATTCCAGTGCCAGTGGGAATGTGTCACAAAGAAGGATGGAAAATGATATATGTAGTGTGGCTAGGGTATTAGGCCATTCAGTCTTTGTGAAATACTTAAATGAGATATAGATATTGTAACAAAACAAGTAGAGGGAGGAGGAGTTCTCAACAGCATCCCAAGGCAAATTTAAGTCCCATCCAGTTGAGCATATCCACCAGGAACTGCTTGGGAAACACTGTAATGGGGTGTCCTGTACTACACTTCCAGGGAACACCACAGCCCTGCATTTCAAATAAAGGGTAGGCCCAAATAGTCTTTTATCAGGGTGGATACACCACTTGCAGATGTAACTTTTCAAGTCAATATCCTCAGCTGCTTTGAACTTTGAAGAATGAGGGAGGAGGAATGTGTGTTGGGGAGAATACCAGAGAGTGTGCACAAACCAATCTTAACTGACACAATTACTTGGAATTGGGACAAGTCAAGTGCAATAGCAGGATTACACTTTGTGCTGCCTTTTTTTTCTTTGATACAAAAATCAACATTTTAAGACACAATGAAAATTAAAATTATTTATTATTATTTATGGCTGACTAGTTTTGGTAACACAGTTACCATCATCAGGGCTAATATCTACAGTATTAGCTTAGAATATAGTCAGCTATAAACTGTTAATGGGTGAGTTCATTTTCAAAAGCAAGGTCAAACAAGGGGTGGAAAATAAATCATAAATGAGGGAATACTTAAGTTAAATATGTATTCCAGTGGGACATGTTCATTGGTCCATAGTCTCTATTTATACACACACACACATCTATTTTTAATTATACACATAATCTCTTTTCAATTACTTTCTATGTTTATTTGTGCATTTCTTAAGATCTTTACATTTTTCCAATCAAAATTACCATCACAGTTCCATAAATGTCCAGCTACAGTAAAGGACATAGTGTTGCCATGTTTTATGTCATACTGGTGTTCTTTCAGTCTCGTTTTAATTTCCTTTTTGTTTGTCCTATGTAAATTTTACCACAACTGCAACTGATTTGGTAAGTTCCATCTTTATCCTCAGTCTTTTTTGGATCTTTGAGTGTTTGTAAATGGTTGACGATATTGTTATGTGGGATGAATACTACTTTGTAACATTTTAATCGAAAACCTTTAGCAATCTTTTCTGAAATCCCAGGAAAAAATAGTATGTTGATGAACTTGTTTTGAGATGTTTTTAATAATGTTAATATAGAGTTTATCATTTGTAGATGTTTGTCGTACATTTTTGGAATGCTTTGTTGACAATTATAGGTTCATAACCTCTGTCTACTGCTACTACTTTTAAATAAATTTTTTTGTTGTTTATATCTGTACTATTAGAACATATATTAATGGCATGCCAAGCATATGTGTAAAAAGTGCTTAGTTTCTGACTTAAAGGGTGGTTAAAGTTATAATGTGGTGGTATGTTGAGAGCAAAAGGTTTTTGAAATAATGGTAAGTAATAATAAATATTTTACCTTTGATTGTGCCAAAAAATGTCGGTTCAGCAATGAGTATTTCATGATTGAGAAAGATGAGGTCTCACACCAGATGCTGCTACTCTAGGCAATCCCCAGTCTCATGGAAGTCGCACCCCATGGGCATTCCCTTTCTGTCACTATTTCAGAAAGAAGCTCATCTTTGTAATTGATCAGACTGATGCAGATCTGTTTTAGATAAAGCAGAAATATTGTTGAAAGACAGAGAGATACATGTACTGAATTGAGAATACAATGTTGCTGGGTTATACATAATTTACGTTGTATTGTGGAGATGAAAAAAATTGTCCACAAAACCAAATAGAATTTCAAACAAAAAATTCACTTAATGAAAACCATGACTTAAATAACAAATAAGTAAGATAAAATACAAAATAAGACAGATTTAGCAATTAGCTTATGAATTAAAAGGTAAATATTTTTAACTTTTAGTCCCTTACCTCTAGATTAAAGTGACTAAAATTTCTTGTTCAATAATTTGCTTAATATTGCTTGTGATGATATATATATAGAAAAAAAAAATTGGTGATTCACACTTTACTAGAGAACTGAATTAAAATAGTGTGATTGCTGTTATGTTTATAACTTAAAATTTATAGATATGTTTATTTTTGTAATTTTCTTTACTGTTTTTCTCTGTCTCTTATTCTATGTGTTTATTACTGGCTGTTGGATTTAAAGAAATTGTGAAACAATGATGCACTTAATTAAAGGAAATATGGGAACAGGAATTCTGGCCATGCCTGAAGCTTTCTCTAATGCTGGTATACTGGTAAGTCTTATATTTAATATATATGTATATATTTTGATGTGCAAATGCAGTTTCTCTTTTTATTTCAAAAATGAAGTATTGTATAATTTTATACAAAAAAATAAACAATTTAGGTCACACAGGAAATATATATATAAAAAGTAAAAAGATATTTAGTGGATAAAATATTGTTAAGGGATAACTGGTTATTATAAGAACTAATATCCTGAAATTCCACACTCAAAAATGGGTTTCTGAACTTTAGTTAAATAATGAAATAGTTTAAACTCTATTACAAATTTAATTAACAATGTGTTTAATTTCAATTGTATGTACATCATTATCTGTAGCTAGCACTTCTTTTTGTTTCTTATTTTGAACAAAAAATACAGAAACTTTCATCCTTACATACACTTGCTACATTTAGATTTTTTGAGTAAATAGGGATCAGACTTAAAATGTTATTTGATTTGTACATTTGCACCATAGTGTTGTCTTGTACTAAAAGAAATATCAGTAATAGGTATTATGTAGCAAGTAAACTAATATGATTTAATATCATAGGTATTATTTCTAAAATATTTGTCAAACTTTCAATTACAAAAATATTGAGGATTGATGTTGTTTGGGCACTAAAATGCATATTTGTAAACTGATTTTCTATATTTTATAGGAACATTGTTTTGTCTACTGCCATTTCTGCTATTAATTGCAAGTAACATGAACAAATGTAATATATATATATATATATATATATATATATATAATAGAATAAATAGCTACAAATAATTATACTAATTTATTGGTTAAATAGGCAAATTTTAGATCAGCACTAATTAAAACAAAAAAGTAAAATTTAA